TTTAAAACCACACTGAGGCATTTGTTACATGACGGGCACATTACAAATGGGAGCTGTTGCTGCCGCTTCTGTTGTCGTACAGAGTTTCTAAGTGGAAACATGTTTAACTTTTAACCTAAATGGCTGTTCACAAAAAAATTCTCCCACTGTCTCCAAAATGCTGCAAATACTACTGGCAAAGCACGTTAGAAACCTTGGGGTCGTCGCTGATCCAGGACACTTCTTCTCTTCCCACATCTAGAATAACTACTCCCCTCCACGAACTCTCCTAACTCTCATCTCACTCGACTCCTCTCCACGAACTCTCCTAACTCTCATCTCACTCGACTCCCCTCCACGAACTCTCCTAACTCTCATCTCACTCGACTCCTCTCCACGCACTCTCCTACCTCTCCCCTCTCATCTCACTTCACTCCCCTCCACGCACTGTCCTACCTCTTATCTCACTCTACTCCTCTCCGCACACTTTCCTACCTCTCCCCTCTCATCTCACTCTACTCCCCTCCACGCACTCTCCTACCTCTCCCCTCTCATCTCACTCAACTCCGCTCCACATACTCTCCTACCTCTCATCTCTCATCTCACTCTACTCCCCTCCACATACTCTCCTACCTCTCCCCTCTCATCTCACTCCACTCCCCTCCACGACTCTCCTACCTCTCCGCTCTCATCTCACTCCCCTCCACGCACTCTCCTACCTCTCCCCTCTCATCTCACTCTACTCCCCTCCATGCACTCTCCTGCCTCTCACCTACCATCTCACTCTATTTGCCGCCACGCACTCTCCACTCCAACACCCAAGGCTTTTTGTCAAAGTCCTCAGTCAACCTTGACTTAGTGGGAGGTTGCTCATTCTCCTCTGCTGCCCCCACTGTCTGGAGATATTTAACTTTTTTCTACTACTTATGTCTGACTGATTCTCTTTCTCCGCATTAGATATGTCTCATGTTCGATACAGCATCTTGAGATGCTATATATAAAGAATTGTATCGTGCTATTAGGGTAGATATTAATGGGTTGCATTATTTATCCTTACTACGTCTCGCACGCACGGTGTGATGAATTTTAATAAGCTTGATGGGTAGAGTCTTAATGGGAATTAGCAGCTGCGTTAACACGGCCATAAATGAAAAGTGCCTGTTCATTAATAATTCACGTCATCCCGTCTTAATGATTTACTAGCAATGCCAATTGGCTCAAATTTGAGTGCCTGACCCAATAATATAATTGTGTAAATTATGCTATGTTGAAAATTATGAAGCTTAGCTATTTAAAATTTAGTTAATTTCCAGAAGAAATATTAATTCCCTTAATTTCCGTTGAGAATAAAATGACAGCAGTATGTCTTCCGCTTGCAGAATCTGTTGTGGTTCCTGGGCATCCTCTAGGTCGACTCAGCCTCAAACGAGTACCTGGTATGGTGGTGCTGGCCACCCACCCCCTCATGTGCCACAGTGCCGGTCTTCATAGGTGCTCGCTAACAGCACTCATTCCAAGTCTGTTAAGGCTACACGGGGGGGGGGGTCGTAGTCGTAGTGTGTGTAGGGAGTGGTTTCGTGCACTGCACTTGGAACCCGGCGACCGCAGTTCAATTCCCACTCGCGGCCACCACCACCAGTGAAGATTAGCTGAACTGGTCCTGGGCCTCCTCTAGGTCGACTCAGCCTCAAATTAGTACTTGGTGCGGTGTGTACTCGTCATCACCATGGCAAAGATGAAGGCTGCCGGGCGTGGTGCAGGCCACCTGCCCCCTCGTCCGCCATGCCGGCCTTCATAGGTGCTCGCTAACTGCACTTGCCCAAAAAGTCTGTGCAGGCTATATGGGGGGATTTGTGTCTTTGTGTGTGTGCGTGTACCCCGGATTGAATCCAATACAGCCCTGCAATTTCTTCCTTGTGCCACTCGTGGCAGAAGGGCCTCTACGAGAGGGAGCTCTGCAGAGCCCCTCCAGAGGTATTTGGTTCACTCTTTCTCACTGAGCAGACATCTAGCAAGAGGTGGGAGTACCTGCTCTTTACCCTCACCACACGCGGACCTGCTCATTGACTGCGGTGTACCTATTTATACTGCTGGGTGGACAGAGGCGGGGGGCGCGGGGGGGGGGTGAGATTCAAGAAACCTCATGCACGGTTGTTTCAACTGCCGTGCCGGGAGGTCGGACCGGCGCTCTCTGCATTGCAAACCGCAGTGTGCTGAGCGTTTCTCCATGGCAGCATCCTCCCTCCCTCTCTCTATGAGAGCAACGGAATGCGCTCAGAGCAGGGGACCGAAGAATATCTGCAGAGTGTCGCTCCCGGTCGTGCGTGCTGCTATATAAACCAAACAACTGAACACTTTATTTATTTATTAACCAGATGAGGCCCACTCTCTTTCAGAAGCGACCTCGCCACAAGCGATAGCTCAATGAAGTGGCTCATCACGTGGAAATGTACAGCAGCCAAATAATCGAAATGCACGTTAAATGTAAATGTGGAGGGAAAAACCGGAGGAACCCTGAGAAATTTACACGTGACCACGGGGATAGAGAACGTGCAAACTCCAAAGGTACAGACGTCAGGGTCGCAATGGGGATGCAACCCACGGCCTCCTTCATACTAGGTGAGGTAGTTGACATCACGCCACCGTGACGCCTTATATATATGGGTGGTGAGCACGGTCTAATTATGTAAAATGTTGATAACACTGAAAGATTCTATGCTGGGTTCACAACATCTATAATTTGTTGAATGGCAATGATTAGCGCCCCCCCTATATGCCAGGGTGTCTTAGGGCACTTTACATAATCACAGCTTATCTCCCTGCAGGCAAAAGGTGACTCAGCACCTGGCCTGCAAAACGTACATCCGTCTGCCAGCAGGTGGTACGCCGATTGCTACGTATAATTCCCATTGAGTAGCAGAGCGACATCCGCGAGCGGAAACGCATGGCAGTGAGAAGGAACTCGATGCACGACGTACATCGTCTTGTGGATGCGAGTCTTTTGACCACATCTGGCGCGACTCATTGCAAAACAAGATTGATCTCCCGCTGCACCGGAGAGGAAATGGGGGATGCGTCTGCACGTTCGCCGGCAGAGGGTCACATCGGTCGCTGATCTGATACATTTCCTGGAATTAGTTTTTATATTGTTTAACGCCGTAATCCTTGTAATGGCATCGGATTTAACTGCGGTTCACTGAAAGGGCACGCGCGTAAATGTGGACCACGTAAAAGGGCCCCCCATTCGCAGTGCACGGGCAACGGCAGGCAGAGAAGTCTGCGAATGAAAGTTTGGTTGCGGTATTTTATCGGGTGCCTTTAAACAGCTGAAGACGCTGTGACATTCTGGGATGAATTATCGGCACAAGGAAAGGTTTGATCGTAGAAAAGACCGAGTCGCAAACAATTGCACAAATAATGTAACATCGAACTCAATAACATAATTAGTGTATAAAGTGAAGTAAACTGCAATGCGTGCATTTAAAATATTTGAATCGAGAGAGTATACCAATTTAGAAGGCATTTTATACTGTGGCATACGCCTAGAAAGACAAACATCCCCCGTATAGCCTTTAACAGACTGTTGGGGTAAGCGCTGTTTGCGAGCGCCTATGAAGATTTCCACGGCACACGAGGTGGTGGGTGGCCGATATCACGCACGGTCGCCTTTGTCTCCCCAGTGGTGATGTTTACACACCGCACCAGGTGCTCATTTGAGACCTGAGTCGACCTAGGGGAGGCCCGGGACTGGATAAGATATTCGTCACTGGTGTTGGCCGTGAGCTGGAATCAAACTCGGTTCGCCGGGTTCAAAGTGCAGCACGCTAACCACCACACTACCGCTCCCAACACATATGCTTACATACACTTACATACAGATGGATATTTAGATATATCTATATGTAGGCACAGTATTGTTAACAGATGGACAGATGAACAATGCAGTTAAACAAACTTTCGATCTGTCGCAGCGCAGTATTATGACTGCCAACACCTGTGTGTGGTATTTTGTCCGTCAGCAGTGAGTGAGTGTCTCGAGATCACCTTCCTGATTCATATCCAGGCACGTTAAGCAGCCGCACTCATGCGCGAGATTCGGCTGCGGAAATTTCCGCAACTTTTCCTCTTTAAAAAAATTAAGAGTGACTTCTCTGAGCCGATTGCAACTGCCGAGCGCATTACAAAATATAACGATATTCCCGAATATATCGAGGTCATTTATATTTGATGTATTTACGAGAAAATAGGGATCCTGCTGTGGCATCAGAATCTTTACTTCAGACTGGCGGAATCCGAAGCTCCCTTTTTCACAGACGTCCAAGTTACCGCTAGCACGCTGGGGTTTAATCTCCCGGCACGGCAGGCGAAACAATTGGCAAGATTCTTAAATCCCGCCCCGCTGTCGCGTCGCTTCACCCTGCAGGGCAAATGGGCGCACCACGGCGAGTGGATCGGTGAGTGGATTTCAGCGGGGGTAGCGGGGCAGGTACACTTCCCGCCTCTTCGACGATGTATGGGGCAGCGTTGAAGGGTTCGAATGGCCTTGAGAGAGGCTCTCTATAGCTCCCTTCAGTTGCGGCACCTTCTGCCAGCAGTGGCGTGAGCCGGAGATTTACCTTCTACGAAGACATTGTCCACGGATTTTTCAATCCAGCTGCCACATTTACACTCTCCATTCCAGAGACAGTGCCTCTCAGGCTCAACGAGGATAATCCCAAGAACCTTATACTGTACGTGTAAAATATTACGATAACAGCCTGGCTACGCCTACCTATTACAAGACATCTGGGCAGCGTGGAAGAGTACCAGAATCAGAATATTTACACTGGAGGAATCCGATGAGCCATGAAGCTCTTTCTCACAGATGCCCAGTGGTAAGCCAAACGGCCTCTGGAGCTCCCTTTACCGGTGGAGGCACCTCCCTCCCCCCACCCCCCCCGCAACATCAGCGGCACGAGCGGGGAGAAATCGCAAGCGGGCTGCACCGATGTACCACTTTTTTTCCCAAAACCGAAGTTCACCTGCTCGTTGCCGAGGAAGAGGAAGGGCAGGATGGGGGAGATTTCCGCGTTTTCGATGTCCGGGGTGGAGGGCAGCGGGGGCAGCGGGGGCCCCGCTGCTCCGCCACCGCTGCCGGAACCGTCCACGGGCTGAAGGAAGCTTGCGCACAGGCTCTCGTGCTGCTGCCGGAAGCTGCTGAGGCCTCCTGCATTCAGGGCGGGCGTGACACGGCCCAGCGTCGCACCAGCACCGGGGGTGGGGGGGGGGGGGGGGGGGGGAGCGACATCGGATCAGTTTGGGGTTCACGCGTGGCGGCTGTCATCGCTCGCGACCGGCAAGACTTAAGACGCGTGAGATGTTAACCACCTCGCCTGGTATGGAGCAGGTGGTCGTGGGTTCAATCGCGATCCCCTGATGCCTGCATGCCTGCTGTGTATGTGGCGTTTGTATGTTCTCCCCGTATATTGCACTCACTTCAGTTAATGGTTGGCATTCGAAGTGGATTGTGACCCTCAAAGGAACGGCGTCGCCTTCCCCCCCCCCCCCCCCACGTGATCCGTGGATCAAACAAATCATTCGAGACGCCGGTGTACAGCAGCAAGAGCAGTTTAGGCAAATGCTGTCACAAGAGGTCACACGTTTGACACAACGGTCCTTCACTGACTATGCATGATGAATGTTCTCCCACGTGGTCGCGTGAAATTTTCTCCGGGTCCTCCGGTTTTTCCCTCCACATTTAGAATCGACGTGCATTTAGGGAGTCTTTGGCTGGTATGAATTTCCACGTGATAAGTCACTTTGTTGAGCTATCATTTGTGATAAGCAAGTCGCTTCTGAAAAGCAGCTACAGTGAGGGAAAAAAGTATTTGATCCCCTGCTGATTTTGTACGTTTGCCCACTGACAAAGAAATGATCAGTCTATAATTTTAATGGTAGGTTTATTTGAACAGTGAGAGACAGAATAACAAGAAAATCCAGAAAAACGCATGTCAAAAATGTTATAAATTGATTTGCATTTTAATGAGGGAAATAAGTATTTGACCCCCTCTCAATAAGAAAGATTTCTGGCTTCCAGGTGTCTTTTATACAGGTAACGAGCTGAGATTAGGATCACACTCTTAAAGGGAGTGCACCTAATCTCATCTTGTTACCTGTATAAAAGACACCTGTCCACAGAAGCAATCAATCAATCAGATTCCAAACTCTCCACCATGGCCAAGACCAAAGAGCTCTCCAAGGATGTCAGGGACAAGATTCTAGACCTAAACAAGGCTGGAATGGGCTACAAGACCATTGCCAAGCAGCTTGGTGAGAAGGTGACAACAGTTGGTGCGATTATTCGCAAATGGAAGAAACACAAAAAAACTGTCACTCTCCCCCGGCCTGGGGCTCCATGCAAGATCTCACCTCGTGGAGTTGCAATGATCATGAGAATGGTGAGGAATCAGCAAAATAACTACACGGGAGGATATTGTCAATGATCTCAAGGCAGCTGGGACCATAGTCACCAAGAAAACAATTGGTAACCCACTACGCCGTGAAGGACTGCAATCCTCCAGTGCCCGCAAGGTCCCCCTGCTCAAGAAAGCACATATACATGCCCGTCTGAAGTTTGCCAATGAACATCTGAATGATTCAGAGGACAACTGGGTGAAAGTGTTGTGGTCAGATGAAACCAAAATGGAGCTCTTTGGCATCAACTCAACTCGCCGTGTTTGGAGGAGGAGGAATGCTGCCTATGATCCCAAGAACACCATCCCCACCGTCAAACATAGAGGTGGAAACATTATGCTTTGGGGGAGTTTTTCTGCTAAGGGGATTGCCAACCAGGGTTTTGCCACCAAGTACTAAGTCATGTTTTGCAGAGGGGCCAAATACTTATTTCCCTCATTAAAATGCAAATCAATTTATAACATTTTTGACATGCGTTTTTCTGGATTTTGTTGTTATTCTGTCTCTTACTGTTCAAATAAACCTGCCATTAAAATTATACACTGATCATTTCTTTGTCAGTGGGCAAACGTACAAGATCAGCAGGGAATCAAATACTTTTTTCCCTTACAGAGATACAGAGAGAGAGTACAGAGGGAAGCGGAGACAGAGAGAGACAGGGGGAGATAGACGGAGTGAGACGGACAGAGACAGAGACGGCGAGTGAGACAGAGAGAGAGACAGGGAGAGATAACCAGAGTGAGACGGAGAGAGAGAGATAGCGAGAGACGGAGAGAGACAGAGATAGCGAGAGACGGAGAGAGAGCCAGAGACGGCGAGAGACGGAGAGAGGGAGAGGGACAGCGAGCGACGGAGGGAGATAGGGAAAGACAGGAGAGGAAGCGGAGCGAGCGGGACGGGCAGAGCGCGGCGAGTGAGCCGTGGCAATCAGAGGAACTGTGGAGTTATCGACGGAATGTGGAGAGTTGTAAATAAAGTGGTGTGGGAGAAAAGAACAAAATTTGTCCGAGTGAAGTCTAACACTACATATAGGAGCTCAGTGGGCCTTACCTGGTAAAATAAAAAAAGTTAAGTTTTACTTGAGAATTGGTGACTCACAAGAGGTCAACGCAGCCATTTGCGTTGGCGCCACTGTACGTTGCCATTCTTTTTAGTTGCAGAGTCCACAGCCGTACCCTAAGGTCTGCTCTTGCAGAGTGGCTATTTATATATTTATACAAAATTGAAAAAAAAAGGCCTAAAACATTCAAAAGAAAATAGATTTAAGTGAAAACAAATGTTGAGCCAGAATTTAAGAAAGCTATTAGTGCGTGTTCAAATAAAGATTTGAGCATGACGGTATGCGCATTTGAGATGTGGAGATTTAAATCTAGGAGAAAACAGAATGTGAAATGTGAAGCAGGAGGCTTTAAAAAGTAGGCCAAAATTTTAATAAAACATGAAGAAGTCGTACAAAATAGTGAGAGAAGAGTAAATAATACGGCAAAATACTGAGGGCAGAACCTGGAAGGGAGACCAGTCATCTGGAATCATTTTAATCGGCCTGACTGAGATGTCCGTTGGCATCTCAAATAGCAATGTGGCAAGCGCCAGAGTAATTCAGCGACTGATGTGTGTGTCCCATTCGTTGTCGTGAATCCCGAAAGAGCCTGATGCTCCAGCTAACAGTCCCTTGTCACAGACGAGTGTAGGTGCATTAAGGTGCCGGGTCAGATGTCGATGAAAAAAGGCAGCACCTTAGGCATCAGTTTAACACGTCGGCTTTTGTGATCAATATTATCCATAATAAAGGGTTTTGTGTTCAGATCACGTAAAATATAAACGTTACGTTAAACCCGCCGCCACCACCCGACACAGCCAATTAGAAAGGTTTGTCACCTAAACAAAGCATTCCAATTTGTTACAATTGTGGGTTACAACATTTACAATTGTGGGTTTACTCTCCAACACCCCGGTGTGCTGTACTGGTAACGAATTGGCACGTTTTGTTTATGCGACTAACCTCACTAATTGGCTGTGTCGAGTGTTGGTGGCGGGTTTATCGACACATATTTACGCGATCTAACCTAAAAACCTCTATTATGAACTTTAGAACTCGCCCGCACTTTTCTCTCTCTCGGCCAGGGGTGTGAGCTGCTGTGTGTCCCGTGGTATCCGGACATCTCAATTTGCTTACCGATGGCTCGAAAACAAAAAAAAATCACGCTATTTTTGAGTCCAACGTTTATCTCCCTCTTAACAAGGCTACACACTTGGGGTGACAGTGCCTTTGCGGCACCTAAACTCTGGAACTCCTTTCCTGTTCGAGGTCAGGACTTCCGAGACACTACAAATATTCCAGTCTCGACGAAAAACGCATCTGTTTAAAATGTTTTTCTCTCTTTACTCATTTTAAACCGTCTTTCTCACTTCTTTATTTTGTTGTTAACTATTTTCCGCCTTGTCATGCATAGCGCCCGGAGAACGATTGTTTAAGGGCGCTTAACTAAATCAAAATTATTGCTAATGCCGATGGATCCAAAACAATCGTCATCGTCGTGTTTCTCTCTGCCCCAACGAAAGCGAGGACTGCTCTCAACTGTGTCCCAACAACCCACGCAAGAAGGTGTGGGGGATATTTCCTCCATGAATGGAAGACCAGGGGGGCTCCACCAAACTGCGAAAGCGGTTAGGTGCAAACCATCAGGCGCATATCACGGATGACTGCCCCAACACAACACGTGCATTCTGGTGAAACAAGTGGACTGCACTCAGCTAGCATCCCACACGCAATAGAATGGCTTACAACATAAAAAATACAATTGTAGCCTGTTGCTTTTTTCGAATGTCGTACGAAAGGCGATTCTCATCGTTGTTGGTGAATATACATATGCAGACAATATGTATACCTGTACCAATACCTATCATCCATACGGTAGGCCATTTCAAGCAACATTGGTTTAATACGAGCAAATGTTGAACCGCCTTCAACAATCAACGTCTCAACAGCGGTGTCAAGTTTCCTTGAACCAATGCGGGTGAAATGCCAGATGTTTATAGGCCAGGGACCCTCTCTGGTAGATATGCGTCATAGTTCAATGCAAAAGTTGTATAATACACCACACAAATCTATAATTTGTGACATTTTGTTGCTATAAAATGTCCAAATAATAAGCCACTTTGTTGAGCTATCATTTGTGGCCAGGTCGCTTTTGAAAAATAAGTTAATACCTCAGTGGGCTTTGTCTGGTATGATAGGGGTGGTTTAGTGTTTTGTATTTCTTTGTGTTTGGGTGATTTGTTGACCTTTCTTGTACTTTGCATTCCGATCGTGTTTTGTACTGTTTGTTGTTGTAACGTTCTTACCCGCCCCAACTGGACATGTGTGAAAAAGAGCTTTGTAGCTCATCGGATTCCTCCAGGATAAATACATATTCTGATTCCGTGTACCTCACAATGTGGGTGAACAGAGGCAGGCAGACTTTTTCCAACCACCGTACTCGGGGAAACAAACCGGCCACCTCAGGATTGCAACTCTATTTTGCTAACCAATCATTAACCAACGGCAGCATCCCATTTTTCATGGTATTTGAAAGTAAAAAAAAATATATTTTCCTGACAAAAAGTAAATTCCTAATTTGCAATCTGAGCTCACACTAGTCCACAGTGGTACTCTCTTTTTTCACAATACCAGGCCACTTGCGCAGACCACTGAATCTGTGTTCAATTGGCAAGCACGACGAGCAATCAATGTCCTCTATTTAACCAGGCGGC